TTCACACTAGCTCACTCACCTCCCTACTCCTCCCCTACTCCCATCCCCTCTCCCACCCCTCTATACAAACCAAACCCCCAAGATTCCAAACTCACTTCTTCCCTTCCCTTTCCTTCGTCTCCTTCCCTTTCCTTCCCCTCCTTCCCTCCCTCGAGCCTCCCTTCCCTCCCTTTCCCAAATCAACCATCCGCACAATCACACAATCACATACCACCCAACGACCTAGTACTTCAATCAAGAAGAAAAAGCAAAAGCAAAAGCAAAAGGACGACGAAACGACGACACAAACAGATAAACAAATAGATAGGAATATAATGTATGGTAATTGATTTTAGAATATTTTCAATCGTATATGAATCATCCATTCATTATTCATTCATATACTTCATTCATGAAAAGAAGATTGATACTATTCTAGTATCTTTACTTTCCTCCCATATTCCTCACCCATCATCCATCACCCATCATCCATCACTCTCACTCTCACTCTCACTCCATCCACTATTTCTCCATTCATCTACCTTCCAATATGCAACCCCCCTAATCTCATCCCCAAACATCCATCCATCATAACATCATCATCATCATCATCACCAACTTAGCAAGAGATCAAGAAAGACAAATAAAATCGCAGAAAATATTCGGCAGATGAGAAAATCCATTGTTTAATATTTAGTAGGATAGGATATTTAGTAGCCAACTTTAACGAGATAATCGACCAATTTTTGAACAGTCTCTGCGGTGTTTCCGGCGATCATTGGGTCGACGTATCGGGCTACGATGATTGCTTGAACGGTTTTACCGATGACGAGTCCATCTTTGCCCTAATTTTTGAAGAGTTGAATATTAGTATAGATTCCGTGTATTGATGTGATAAGGACGTCTTTGAATGTCGTATATTGTGGTGATTGTTGTTGAAAAATTGTTGCGAGTTTTGAGATGATGATAGACAAGGCTGAGATAATCTATTCAAAGATAAACATACCTTTCTGGCATAGAGCACCTTATTATCATCCTCCACTTTGGTAAGAACATATCTCTCGCCTGCAATATGTAAACCATTTGCGTATAGACTATCTGTAGTACCATCAAGTCCCTTCTTGACCTCGGCCATTTCTTCAGGGGTGATCTACACGATTTATGTCAGCGCCTGATATCTGAGTGAGATTTTGTATACGTGTGCTCTATCCGCATTTTCTGATCATAAACCCATCTGCCAATATCCAAAAGTAGCCTCGCAGATGTATATATTGAATGGATCTGAAAGCGGGATAGATATGATATCGAAAATCGGTGAAAGCGTACCTTGAATTCAGGACTGGTGGCCCAGCAAGAGGTTCCCTCCAAATTGTAAATAGCTCCCTTCTCTACATGTCCGCTTCCGCAAAGACTGTTATTCCCATCAGTTTCCTATTCGATTTTATCTGTTCTCGTGGTTTGCATCATGGATTTCGTACCTTGTGTCGATATAAGCTATTGGAAACCATCAGTAAATGCATCTCTTCCACCGTATTCCAAAGACATAGAGGGGTTCCAAGGAGGGGTAACAGGAACCTCAGCTCCACCATTTCAAGAGAAAAAGATTAAACATACCCTGCCACGACATCTTTCAAATGGTAAAATTTGTTGATACGAAGATTCTTTCTTGAAATGCTTGCGATGATTTGGATCTCACCGGATATTGATCGAGGTATTGGGAAGATGAGTTGGTGATAAATTTTGATGGTGGTTGGATCCAGTTTATGTTTCTGTAAGAGTAACGTGAAGGTAGGTAAGGTAAGGTTACCTAGTAGGTGATATACCTCGCTTGTTTAGTTTGATGGCTGGCTTTTGGTGGGGTTGGTTGAAAAGGATGAGTTGTTGTTTGCGGTGTGTGAAGAAGAAAGTCTTGAAAGATGAATGGATGCAATCATATAAAGTGGTACCTTTTTTGTTTTTGGTGTGTGTTTATGTTTTTGTTTGTCGATGTCGATGTGAAAGCGATTATGGTTGTTGTTGTGTTGTTGTATTGTTGTTGCTACTCCAAGATTATTGGAAGAGAGAAGAGAGAAGAGAACAGCAACGGTGAGGTGAGTGAGGAAGTATTACTATGTAGTTGGGTAGATAGATATATGATATGGGATCTTTTGAATGCAGCAGGAGGGAATACAACGATGAATCCAGTTCAATCTCGTCATTCCATAACACCTGGGCACTCTTTGCTAGCTAGATACCGACCTATCTTACCTCAAGATCCTCAAGACCTCGACATCCATGACTGAATATCATATCCGCCTTAAACGAAACATCCCGCTGTCAAAGCAAAATAAAGCATAGCAATGACGAAATAGATGAGGCTTATTTGGTGTAGAGCTCACATAAAGGATCTAGATGGTCAAATGTATTGTTGCTTTAGCTTTAGTTACTCGCGTACCTACCCATAGATATAATATATGAGGCGAAGAGGCTTGGAAGTTGGAAGCAATGATATGTACTACGAGTAATGTCACTGGAGCCATAGCTAGGTACGTATAGCTACATCACATCAAACGACTATTCCAGTTACATTCAACGCGAGAGAAAAACGCCTCTGATCTCTGAGCAATGCAATGCTGTGTTGTGTTGTGCATACCTAGGTACGTTTAAGCAGTTATCTGAATAGAGCAACAGATGCAGCATCGGACGGTATCCCGCATGCCATGCTCGGCTCAAGAACATTCACCAGTCTTCAATCAAGCTCACGTCCTCCGTACATTCAACCTCAAGTCTTCAATGGAATGTTCCGCCGGTGAGCAAGACATGCATCGTGAGATGGCAAATGGAGTCTTGATGATTCATAGAATGAATAATGTTACAAGTTACAACTACAGACTCAATCCAAGCATCATACTTGTACGTGGCAATCGTCTCCATTCCCTTCATCAAGAAGAGTCCCCAGCGGAGGGAAATTGAATGGTTTGGATATTACATGAACGGTGAACCTTATATCTTCATCATTGGCGCCATCACAGATCAAAGAGTAGTCTTTCCTCTCGACACAACAAATCGAAACTGATCTCAAATAGGATCCCAGAATCCGAAGAGCCGAGTCAAGATTTTACTTCATCAGCATTCATATCAAGTATTATCAACGAACCAATTAATACACTTTCTCTCATTTCACCCTTTCGGTCCATTTCCCAATTCTCCGAGATATATCGTATACATTTGGCAAACTCACGCGTGTATACAACGGTTGTCGTCGTGTACAATGTGGGTTTTGATATCTTTAAAATTGCCATTAATCTTATGAGACCTCATTTCTGCATCTCCAAAGCCGTTTCCGGATGATGGCAAATCTACGGCGACGCGGAGGTCTTCATTGCATTGACGTTCCAGATACTCGGGATGATACTGTACAATTTTCCACACAATAACCTTCGTACGATGCTTCTGGGAGCCAGAGTCCAGCCATATCTATAGAAAATCTTCACCCCAATCTAAATACAACAAGTAGACAACACAACCCCTCCAAGATCAGCACACATCATACGATTCTCCCCAAACGTTTCGAAATTCACATCTTATCGTCGCAGATCTTTTTGAAACCCGCTTGACTGTCGGGGTTGCCCACCCACCATTATTTCCAAAAATATTTTCAAGAGAGGCATGTCTTTTATCGGTGAGAATTTGCTTTGTCATTACCAGTAGAGATTCATCAAATCACCGGGGTTTGGAGGTGGAGACTCGCTGAAATCTTCTCAATGAAGTTTTGTCTTGATTCTCGTATTGAGTGGGATAATGTAAGAATATAAACACTGTGTAGGCCTTGGAAAAGGAGATAATGTGAGTGACATCGTTGCTACTCCGTACAGTATACAATTTGGTCAGGAGAGTTCGATTTTCAGCTGGCTTCACCAAGCCTATCAATCATAGACAACACAACAAAATTCCCCTCTTCGGCGCCTGGAAATTACCTTTACTTTTATCATTGTTGTTCTGCAGGAGCCGCGCCCCCAGATCGCATCTTTTGCGAACATGTACCGGTTGCTACGTTGTTTGAAGACCCTGGCTCCTGGCTCTTGGTTATTGTAGATCTTACGGGATAGTTGACAACTTGTGATTGATACATACGAGGATGTGATTTGCTTGTTTGTGAGCTTAAATCTTTATACTATGGATAACTTCATTTTATCAAAGACTCGTGTGTAAATGTAATTTAGGAAAAATTGTGAATACGACGGACATTCTAGAAACTAGAAATAGACCAAATGATCCTCGAGATGTTTTCAAGAGAGGAAGACCTTGGTGAAGGCAAGGTCTAGGGCTTGGTTGCTTAAACTTCTCGATTGTTTCGTCTCATCGCAGATTCATGCGATGAAGGAGGTAGGCGAGACAGACCCTCGAGAGACCCTAAGATTCCAAGATGCCCAGTCAACATGGAGATCATATCCATGAAATGCTTGTGATGATGATCTTTGCCTCAAGAACAATCTCCTTCCTAATATTCCTGGCTCCTTACGAAAGCTTCTCGGGGCTCCTGCCGTATGGACGACGGAAGTGCAGAGATGATGTTACCGCGAGGGCAGCGGAGATTTAAGTACAGATTGTACTTGGATAGCTGTCCCTTGCCTAGTTTGTATGACGACGGGTACTAGGTAGATAAACGACGGATTCTTCGCCGTTTCATTAGAAGAGGCATTAGATGCGAGGACTAAAATGACACAACGGTTCGATATCCAATTAGCCAAATCCAGAATATCTAATCATTCAAACAACCCCAATCCCAAGAGACGAACGCCATTATAGGTAATATGTCAACTATCCAATTTCTTTCATATATACACTTGGGGACTGCCTTACCTATTGAGCCGCTTCATCTCATTCGAGCTTCACACATGAAAGACCCCTCCTCATAACAATTTTGGCAAATATACTCGTATCTTCATCTTATCATTGGATCACAACGAGGATTGTAAGATTAATGCATCTCCACAACAAACCTGGTTCTAATCTCTGGGATTCTGATACGCGATCTCATTCGCTTGTCTTCACTGCCAGCATCCTTAAGGCCTCAATGAACAAGGAAGACATGGGTTCCTATATATTTTTCAACCACATTCAACCAATGCCAATGGCCAATTTTACATCAATGTGTATAACACACCGGATGTAAGAACATTGGGGATGCATGTCAACATAGCAACCTTATGCTACCACACAACCATATTTTGGGTTTTGGATATCCCAAACATCTTGAAATCCAATTTCCTTCCAGAACAATATCTGTAGGAAATTCCCAGTACAGTACCAGTCAAAACAATCACCTGGTACGGAACGGAATCTTCCCTGCTCCAAATCACAATCCACCTGGAATCTAGGAGCAAATCATCTAGACATCTAGACTCCACAACTGGGTAATCTCATCCCATGTCTAAAAGGGCTCAAATCGTTGTAAGAATCCTAACATTTAATCAGCCACTTGAAGGCCTTTACTCACCCTAGATAGCTGATTAAATGTGCTACGTCAAGGTTGACTACACACAAATTGACAGCTTTTTATGATTATTACACTACTGTATGTATGGTCATTGTGAACTCCCCACTCGCTTGGCCTCGCCTTGTCCAGACCTAACCCCTTCCCCTTGTCCTCTCTCCAAATCTCTAAATTAAACGTCCCATTTACATCAAACAATCACAATGTCCCGAGGTACCCCATCTCTTCTTACTTGCTCCAACTTACAGGGCTGAAGGAGATGTGCGATGCAACTAACAGATAAGTCATGTAACCATTTTCCTTGATCATTTTGTTATTCTTTTCTCCCCTTCTTTGTCATATCTTCGATCTCTTCTCGATTTCTCTCTCTGGTCAAGAGTATTCCACTCTTTTTATCTCTCTGCTTCTCCGCGATTTGTTCTCGCATTTCAAGGGTCTCCTGGTGTTACCTGTCCATTCCTTTAAGAAATATATTCGATCAATATACTCGTTTCACCATTTACATCAGTCACATCACATTTCATCATCGTCAACAAAAATACTCGAGTAGACCCATTTTATCGGTTCAAAAAGGCACGAAAGTTCAGGCTCAGACCCAGGGTATAAACTATGTCGAAAAATATAACTAGGTCGAAGTCGGTGATGTCTCGTTTTAGAGGTCGAGATGCAACAGCCTCTAGTGCTTCACTTCATGTTACAGATGATGCACAGGCCAGGGATATTGGTAACAATACATTCCAAAAATTCGACCTTGGTCGCGAAGACCGGCTTAAACTTCCACAGAGACCATCAACTTCAGGTGGAACAAAAAAATCGTCAGGAAATTTACCCAAGAGGGCTCATACTGTCAAGAGAGAAACACGGGACGATCTATTCTTCAACCCTCTGACAGCACATGGGATAGACGGACCTACGTTTTATAACTTTCCTTTACCTTCTACTCGACCCCCACCTTCACCAGTTGTACCAGCTGTGCCCCAAATGCTTGCACCTTCACCACGACCCTACAGTCCTGATTCTATCAAGACAAGCAGGACTGTTCAACCTAACGTTAGTGAACTTGAGATTGGCATGGCACTTGGAAGTCCTTCACACCCACCAGAAAACTGGCAACAAGGTCAACACTCTCTCGGGATGGAACCAGTCCGTACTCTTGATCCAATGGACGACATGTCTCATTATGCCGATTCTATTGTTGCTCCGAAGCAAAAGAAAGGGCGGAAGTGGTTTGGCTTATTTGGAAGTAAGAGGGAAAAGACACCTGCATCATTCTATCAACTGAAACCAGAATCACAACAAGAAATTCCAACGAGCGATCCTTCCTCACCAGAGACTAAACGCACT